TGGCCAGAAGTGGAGAAGAAGTTTATAGTTTTAGACTAGAGGCTTACCATCTACAGTGGGCATTGCATCAACAGCATCCGACACATTGAGAAAATATACACAAACAGAAAGGCCGGGTTAATCTTTGTTTTAGAAAAACTATTTTTGGACAGAAGTTAGACATCTTTAATCAAACATTAAGTAAACATTGTCACTGAGTTTGCTGATATAGAAAAAAGATAAAGAGTCCCATCATTACTTTGCCATTTTCAAGTACACACCCTCTTGACGAGATGCTGCGGAAAATCTTCCACAAGATGAAATACGAAATGGTAAGATGATAGAATTATGTTGAATAATGACAGTATTGTATTGGGTTGTATTGTTTTGTTAGTCTTAATATGAGTTGGTTCATTTACAATAATGTTAATCATATAACTTGCTAAGTAATAGGGCAAACTAGTGCAACATTATATGAAGTATCACTAAGATTTAATTTTTACGTTTGGATTTGTTGTGTTTTGTTGTCTTTTCTTAAAAAAAAAAATGCTGTTGTTGACTATGTTTACCAAACTGAACTTTTTAATGCAGATTTAAACAAAATTCAAAATCAACTTTAACCAAAATATTTTATATTCAGTCATAAATTTTAGGGGTTATTCTTTTAAACTCAGTCTTTGGTAGCAATGAGTTTAACCAATTGTCTTGTCTGCTGGATCCAACCCTAAACCCAGTTGTGGTCAATCAATCTACATTTAACCAAGACAAATAATTACAACAGGATTGCCTTAAACTCAGTACTATATAGACGTGTAAATGTCTAAAGTGCTTTTCATGTCTGGATGGAAAATAAAAACAGATCTACAGAGCTCTGTAGCTGTGCTAGATAGTAATAAGAGATATTTATATCTTGCATAAAAGATGACAAATGTGTGATGACAACCACACATTTTAATGATGAGGATAAACAACTGACCTCACCTGTGTCAGTGTGACTTTATCTCATACAAGTTTGAAGCATTAAAAATATGTCTGCATTATGGTGAGTTTACATCAGTTCACTGAAAAGGGTTATTCCTCCACATTTTATCCATTGTATTAAAAAGATGTTCATAATCAATTCCTTAACAGTAATGACTTTGCAAAGCAATAAGTGATATATCCCTCCTATAGCTCTGTTTCAGCTATAGGAGGGAGCATCACTAAAAAAGCACATCTAGTATAGTCTACTGATTGTGCTTGTTTAGACAATGGACTGAAAGGATGTGTCACAAAGCATCTATGCAGCAATGCATACAGCTTTCGCACATGTTTTTCTTTTGTTTTTGTTTATCATAAAGCTCTGTGAGAATAAAATAAAAAATTGCTCTACACATCTATAAAAGGATTTGGAGAACCAAGGTACAACTGTAAGTGACACTGATTTATTTGAGGTATATTCTGTATTTCTAAGTGTAAAGATTTCAAACTGTATGATTTATAGTTTTGCCTCCTCAACTGTGTTATTGCTGCTTCACTTGTGTCATTGACAGATGTTTGAGGATGAAAGAATGAAAGTGCATTGTAAAATGCAACAGTGAGAAACAAAATAAACCTGTTTTGATTTTGATGGCAAGCCCTATCAAATATTTCTGTGATTTTTAAGTGCAGCCTTTTACTACATAGACTCCCGAGAACATGATTTACTCAAGATCTTTCTTTGCATTTGTATGAAATAAATTTTGCAAAGCTGCTCCTTGTGCTGCATCCCAGTGTCACACTGAATATATCTACATGAGTAATTCCAGACTGGAAAGTTGGATAATGAACATGTAGCAATCAGAAATAATTCTTCCAGCACTCCTCAGACTCTGCAGGCCTTTAGAATTTTTTTCCCAAAGAGGAAAACTACCTGCTCGGTGAGCCCTATCCCAATGCAAACAGATAAGTAATACCAAAGCAACTTAAGAGGACAGCACTTAAAGGTTTGTTTCTCCACAATGCCCCCGAAGAGGGTCGACCTGCCTGCTCCACTTCTCCCCTGACAGACAGCGCACTCCAGAGACGCCACGCCACAGGACACGCGCACTGATCCAGCCTGACACGCCTGACCTTTCCTGGGCCGCACAGCTGACTCACCGTGCGCCGCACCCTGCTTGGCTGAAAAGGCCATGCAAGGCCACGCGAGGGATGCCATCGCAGCCTTCCTTCACCTCTTCTTACTGCCACCGCAGGAGCCGGCAACTTGCATGTGTGAGGAAAGTCAATCTGAGGAGTGTGCACCCACAATACAAGGGCAGGGTATCTGAATTGATATTGACATTCAGTTTGTATTCTCTCAGTGCAACCTCAAAGGTATTTGTTGTCAGATTTCACTGCCAACAAATACTTGGCAGTGAAATCTGTGAAATCAAATAAAAGTCAATTATATTAATTTCTTTCTTAGACCGGAACCCAGTTCCTCCATTATTATTATTATTATTATTATTATTATTATTATTATTATTATTATTATTATTATTATTATTATGGTCCTATTTTCACTCTGACCAATTACTTAATTAATTAATGTGTTATTGGGCTAATGCTTGTTTCAAAATCATAATACATGATGCTAATACTCCTTTCAGTAAGCAAATTTCCCTCAAAAAAAATAATCCACCAAAAAATAATGGCTGACCAGAAAGAAAATCTAACTGCAATGTGTCTTGTTGAGAAGGAGAAACCTTGGAAAAGATGCTGCGGGAGGCCACTGAAGAACAAGCAGCGGGAGGATTGTAAGTGCAGAACAGATGCTGCAGCTGTGAAATGAAGAGCTGTCGCATCCAGCGAGCACTTCCCAGAGTACAGAAAACACTTGGCACAGCAGAAATAAATCATGTGCTTGCGTGCTTTGCTGGATGATTGTATTTTTTCTGAAAGAGGAAGGACATTCTACGCAGTTCAGAAATCCAGCTTATGTGACGAGACGTTTTGGTTTCCGTGTGCTGCGTGCATTTCTGGCACACTGACTTTTTAATGTTCTTGTTTAATGAATAGTCTGGAAACCTGATGCTGCTTTGAAATCTGCTTACTGTCCTGAAAAATAGACACATGGACATATAGCATACATAGTATGTCGCTTGTGCACTCATTGCTACGTGCCTCTTTGCATCTCTTTTATGCCAGTAATTGCAAGTGTCTCTGCAGCAGATACAACAGTCTAAAATAGACCCAGTGAATTTTAAATTATTGTCTTCATTGCTTTTTCTCTCAGATAACATCAAGCTTGTGCAGTAATTGTAATTTGAAGCAAGTCACAGCTGAGATGGCAACAAATCATGATTTTGTTAAAAAAAAAAAAGACAATTTAATTAATTTTATAAACCAAAAAGACACCATTAGGCAATATGGACAGCGATAAAGGTCAGCAAGGTGTGGGGGTAAGTAAACTTCAGTACCAAAAAAAGACAAAATATCTATTTTATATTTTACATGCTTTGTTTAGAACAGCAGGGGATTTTATCACACGCCAGGATTACTTCTCTTTATTTTGACTGGTTTAAGGACAGCAGAAAAACAGGCTTCATTTATGCAGGAACCACCACTGGCCTCGGATTTATTACACCTGCAGACACAGTCCAGGTTTTCAGACAAAACAAGGGCTATGAACTTAAAAAAGTGTTAAGGCCCTTTGAGCTTTTAGACATTTTGTCATCTTACAACAAGAAACATCAAACTGTTTTGTTTTGACCAACACAATATAGTTCATTATTCTGAAATGGATTAAAATAGAAACATGGTGTTCAAGCATTTATGAGTATATTTTGCCTCACTTACATTTGCAAAGCTTTTGAAGTATGCTTCTACTAGATTTGCATATGTAGATATTGTAATTTTTATTCAGTTTGTCTTTGCTGTGTAGCTCAAATTCAGTAATACTGGATAAGTTAAAGCATTCCCTGCATTTGTTGCATTCGCTGTGACATATTTTCTTCAATTTCCACTGTCCTGACCAGTTTCCTTATCAGAGTGGACAAAAAGCATCTGCACAACGTAATGCCACCACCACCATTTGCTAACCCAACATAGCATTTTGAATATAGGTTAGAAAGATTAATTTTCATCAAATTTGACCAGATGAAACTGAGTTTGAGTTTTCACTCTTCTGCATGACCTGTGCACATTTTAAAGGAGACTTTCTTTCAACAATGGGTTTCTATCTGCAACTTTGTGGACAGCTTATCACACCTGAGCTGTGAATCTCTGCAGCTCCTCCATGGTTAACATGGGCTTGTTGGCTGCATCAAAGCCCTCCCTACTCATCCAGTCAGTTTAGGTGAAAAACCTGGTATTGGTGGGTTTCTAGTTATCTTAGTATTGTCATTTTTAGATCACACTAAATCCCAATAAAATACATGAAAATTTCAGAGGAAGAAAAGTTCACGATTATCAACACTTATTGACCCTCTTCGCAAGCTAGTGCACAGAGCTGTTTTCCCCTAAATTTTTCTAGATGTTATTTTTACCAAAGATTTTATCTGGTTATCAAAGGGCATTTAATATTGTTCAGAAGGTGGCCCTTCAAATCTGATACCCACTTTCATGTTTATCTGAACAAAAGGTGAAAATGTGATTCAAATGGTGCCTACTGAATGTTGTGGTTCAGGGGAAATAAAATGAGCTGAACAAGTCTGTCTTGAAACATTTTTGTCAAAAAAAAAAAAGCACCACTTTTTTGCATTGTTTTGTTTTGCATTGATTGTTCGAACTGAAACAGCCTTAAAGTGATGGAGACACAGAGGTTGTAATGAAATGAACCAAAGCACACTGGCTGAAAAGTTAGAAGTGGTTAAAGAGTTGCATAGGGGCGTATTTACTGAGAATAACATAAATGCAACATAAATTCATTCACCTACTTGTCACAAAAATAAACGAGTAATATTATTTTGCATAAGACACAATGTTTTAGCATTTACCACAAATTCCTCCTCAATCATTTTGTCTATCACCTGCAGCAGCTTTTCAAATACCACGGGCCCGGGAGCCTGTTAATGTAATACCTTTTATTCCTCTGGGCCTCCTTCTTATCCATCACGACCGGAACGCAGTTCGTCAGCTCGGTCCAGTCCGCGTGCAGCCCGCAGCTCCAGCCCGTGGAGAACCGGGAGAAGAGCCAGGACTCCTCTTTGCCCGGCCGGTGGCAGGTGCACTTCTTCTGGCCGGGCTTGCAGTCGCACGGCTGCTCCAAACGAATATTCCTCACCAGGTGCCTGCCGAAAGTGGTGCCGCCGGTCTTCTGGATGTGCAGGAACACGATCACGTCGTCCCCTTTGATGTTGAACTCCACGTGTCGGTCCAGGTCTCTCTCGGTGAAGTTGAATTTGGACGGCAGCTTCGGCGGACCGTCGTCGTCCAGGTCGGAATCTCTGAAGAAGTCATCGGCGTCCTGGTACGGGGAGGACAGCAGGCTCACCCCTCTGAATCTCTCCTCGGACTTAAAGTGGCACGAATTGCTGCCCGCCGGACAAATGTACTGATAACCGATCATAACAAAAAGGACTGCCAAGATGGGAACCAAGATGAGCTTGCTGGATCTCTCATCCATTATCTCTCAGGATAGGGTCTTCATTCCGTTACTGTAAATAACAGGTATCACCCGGAGGCTGTTCGGACGGAGATCAGTATTCCTTCATTTCTTTTCTTTAACTCTTATTATTATTTAAAGCGCCACATGTTGATCACCCTCCCCGACACGCGTGATGTGGACAGAGGCGACGGCTTTTAAAATGATCCACGCCGCTGCGCTGCGCTGCCTTTGGGAATGTCCGGATTCAAGAGTCATGGCATGCAAATCTGTGGCTGTCCAACTTCTGAAGCCGCCGTGAAGCTGCATCTGCTCCGACCACTCCGACGAAATGGGGAGGGAGAGAGAGGGGGCATGAAGAAACAAAGAGATCAGAGAGAGTTTTCAGCTTCACTCTCTTTCACCTTTACAGACTCAGTTCTGCTCGGACAGCTGCATCCTGTCTGCACGGACGGGCTGAGACTCAGTGACTGGCTCAGCTGAAAGCGCTGCTTCTTGAGAGGATGCTGCTGCTGCTGCTGCTGCATCTGAGCCGACAAATACGCGTTATGCCCTCCTCGTGGATGGACTGGGAGAGAGATCCACGGCTCATACCCTCCCATCCTATCCACCACATAATCTTATTTTACAGAGAGCGAAGCCAGAAGCATGATAGACGCAGACAAAATAGAGATTTAAACCCGTATTTAAATTCCTGAACCATTTATGCAGCCCAAACTTCTCAAACACATTCACTCCACTTTAAAATCTTTTATCATTAGAAGTATAATTTAATATAAAACAAGGTCGGCAACATTTGTTACATATAAAACGGTGGCTTTGTATTGTATTCAGCCTCTCAAATCAGGTCGGAATCTCTGAAGAAGTCATCGGCTGCTATGGGAGCCACTTGTCTGTCTGAAGTATGTCTCATCCAGGTTTGCACATCTGGAAACTGAAAATGTTCCATTCCTCTTTGCTAAAAAGCACCAGTGTGGGTTAGACAGAAAGTATCTGCAGACAGCAATTTTCACATATTTACTTGGCTACAGGTTGAATTCAGATCCAACAACACATAAAGAAGTTGTGATCAAAAGCACAGTATCTCTTGCTGTATGTTCTGGGTCAATAAACAGATCAAGGATGATTCTTTATTCCAGTCTGAATCCTTTAGCAGCCTTTAGCGGCTGTATTATTAATGCTGCTCTGTCTATCTGTGTGTCAGCCTGTCTGAGGTTAAGGAATGATGAGTTGAGTGAGAGGAACTCCATCAGTATCTTCTTGTGGGTCACAACAAGTGATGGAAGCTGGCATATGTCCTCAGCTCTCTGCTTCGTCTTCTGTTTTGCCTCCTCACTCCTTTGCCCTAGAGTCACTCATCTTCCTCTTCTTCTTCTCTCTGGCTGTTCACCTGAAATCTTGGTCTTTCCATTGTCAGACATAAAGAACACATAAAGAAAACTGAAATGGTTGATCATTGGTTGATCTGATGCTTCACACATTTACTTTTGTTGCAGAAACCCAGGATTCACCTGGGAGCAAAAAAGTCTAATGTAAATGCATAGGATTATATGCTTCCCTTATTATGACAACTTATTCAAGGCTCTAAGGCTTATACAGCAAACTTATGCTTAAATGTTGTGGAGGATGAGGCTATTCAAGAGGAACCCATATAACAGATTTTGATCCATATTACATAAGCAATCAAAAGTGTAAGAAAAAGCAGAGAATCATACTCACTTGAATTGATTGTCCAAAAGTATTTGTATTTTGTTTACAGAAATGAGAAACTGCTTTTTGATGTGCGTAAGTGACAATGATTTGATGACTGAACAAGTAGTGAGAATTTAAATTGTGCTCTGAAAAATGCAGCGAAGCGTCTGGAAGAAATTAAAATGGAATGAAATCAGAAAATTTGAGTTTAAGGACAATCGTGGTTGAAAATGAATATCTCTATCTGCTTTTTAAATGAGTTGAGACTCATTTAAAAAGTAGAAACAGAGGCAGCTCCTTCCACAGTCGAGGTGAAATGGCTTGGAAAGAGTAATTCCCTCCAGTTCTATCCCTGCTCTTTTGGTTTGCTAGTACATTTAGTTTAAGACTTGAATGCTCAAGGTGGAGAACGTGGCTTTATCAATTCAGTGAGGAAAGAGTTTATACAAGTGTGGGCCTGAAAGTTAAAGTCAGATTTAAAAATGAATTCTGGAAGGACTAAATAACAGGACAGATGTTAACTCTTCTTTTGCTCTCAGGTGATTAAAAATATCTTGTTTTGAGTGATTTTTAGGAGATAATGATTTTTTTGAACAAATCACCTGACTCTCTTCAGTTTAGCTTCACAGATGCATTTTAAAGTTCAATTCGCGGTTTGATCAAACCCTGCTCTCAGGGGAACGTTCATACACTCACACTATGTATTTGGGGTAGTTTTCCTTATGTAACTTTTAATTCTGTCCACATTTCAACCACCTAGTTGATAGTTGGATAAACTGGAGTCCTTCATTTTTCCAATCTTTTTGTATCACTGGCAGTGAAGCAAACTGCCAATTTAATGCTACCTCTAACAATCAGACTACACAAACTACACCGATCGCCTGTGATCCAAAACTGACACCTTTTTAACTCGGTTAAAATTTGAAAACACCAACAGAGAAGATCTAAATAATTAGCTAGAGAATAAATAATATGATCAGAAAGGTCAAAGCTTGAGTGTTTTTCCCACAATGACAAGAAAAAAGTTTTGAAGCGACGAGGTCTTTGCTTTAGACTTAAAAAACAGTCACCAACTGGTGCACTGCACAGAGTGGCTGGAACCTCCAATTCTGTAGTTTTTCCTGAAATTCAAAATAAAATACTATTTGTATAATTTTAGAAATTGTGCAAACAATTACATAAATAAAAACAACCATTAATTTTCATTAATCTGTCTGTTCGTCCTTCTCTAAAGTTTAAATGAACTTAATAAAATTAAATAAATTGGTTGTTTGAGAGACTTCGAATCAGTAAAAACATCTCAAAGATTATCTCAGAAGAACATACTTGAATTAGACCATTAAGGTCATTTTTAGTTTAGAAATTATGGAACCGAAAGCAGGAGTATGAAAGAGATGTAATTATTTTGAGCAAAGGAACTAAAGCTAAAACTGTTGTCTGATCCTTATTCTTATGTATTCATTTTGTTCTGCCATACTTATTTCAAAGAAGGATGTTCAAAGACAGAGGTAATGTGCTTCCACTCAGACATAGTCTGAAGTAAATTCATGAACGATCATTATGTTACTCTGATTTATTTTTATTTTTATTTTTTCTATCTTCAGATGAATAGCATCAAAAGCATTTCAATAATGAATTAGTTTGGATATTTAATTCTCTAACTAACCCTGGAAGTGCAGACATTTTTTATTCCATCCATCTTTTCTACCTACTTGTTATTATTCGAGGACAGGGTTAATGAGTGCATATACCTGTTGTCAATATGAAGGAGATGAGGAACATCTGATCCTAGTCAAGTTGCCAGTTGGTAACAAAGCCAACACATGTGATAAGCAAGACACTGATGTTTTTCAAACAACTTAGAATTTCCAAGAAATATTGGATGAGGGCTGACAAGCAGTTCAATTCAATTCAATTCAATTCAATTCAATTTAATTCAATTCAGTCAATGTCCTTCACTGCGTTTAAAAAGCTGAGTTAGTCTTAAGAAGTGTGGCTTTTCCAGTTTGCAGAATGAGGAGGAGAAAAGTTATACTTACAAAACCAAAAACACAAAGTCACAAATGTAATTTGTGAAAAATATGAATAGAATCAATAATTCAGAGCAACATCAGATGTCTACAATCACTCAAATCCTTAGTTGCAGAACCGAAGAGGTGGCTAAAGGTTAGGCACCCTAGCACTAAAAAAATTGTATTGGATTAAATGTGCTTTCTTCACTGGATATTTTCTTCGATGCATTTGTAAATAATAAAACTTTGGAAGGATGCAAGATTTTAAAAAGCGGAATATACAAAATTGAAGTGTTTAGAAATATTGTACACAATTTGGTGCACATTCTGTGGAATGACAACATTCCAAAAATGACGTTTTGTCAATACTGCAAAATATTGTCTGGTGTCTGGAAATTTCAGTTTAAATTATTTATTTTAAAATGTGCTTAGTTTAATTTTATTACTTTATAATTAATGTTTAGATTCACAAAAATGTGACACTGAGTGATATAAGAGTCTCAATTTCTATGTGGTACACTTAGTCGTTTAGTGCTATGAGATTGGTCACAACATCCCCCTGGTGTTTTGGGGAAAAATGTATGGAAACAAGCTTCAGTCTTTTTAGCTGTCTGCCGCTGTGCCGGAAAATTCCTCACATTTTTATACGTTTTTATTTAATCATACATCTACTATCAGCCTTTTCAATTCTCTGGACTAATTTGTTTTAAGTGCTTGAAAATAACAGTGTGATATTTATTTATTTTTATTTTTTACATCGGTCTAAATACGAATAACGGCTTACGCGAGTAGCGTATCACACAAGCCCAGTTCCTCGCTAGCCTTTTCCAGCTAGCTTCCCAAAATACCAACGTGAAGCCCCCTTGCTTGTATGGAAGCGGTCAGCATCACCAGCGGGTGAGACTCAGTTTATGTTTATGATCGATAATAGCAGTGACAGTCGTAAAGTGCACTGTAATAAACGAAAATTGTTGTCTTTGTTCGTCAGTTTATTACTTTCAGAGTTAACGCTGCTCGTTTTCAGCCTGCAGCTGGGTAAACTTCACTCTGTTCCCTGAATGTAGGAGTCATTTTATCATTACAAGTATAACTCCATACATGTCACTGAACCTCTCTGGTGTTGATAAAAACCCAGAGAATAAAACCCAGGTCTTACCGAGTTTAAGTTTGTACACTTCACCGTGTTAGTAGTGTTTTCTTTTTTTTGTTAGCTAATACCTACGTGGCACTGACAGGCACTTTTTCAAAGACTAACGAGCTGTGCTAACGGAAATGTGTTTGCCCCTGTTAGATTCATGTTCCTCCGTGACAATGAAGAAGGTTTTACTGCTGTCACTGCTGCTGCTGAACATACATCAGGGTATAGCAGCTCCCAAAGGCGTCACGGCCAGCCTCAAAGCCAAGTGGAGCATGACCCCTTTCCTCCTGGAGACAAGGTACATTTGTGGGAACACATACGGAAATCTGGATAAATGTGTCATAAATAGGATCTATTGCACTTTGAAATCTCAAATAAAAGCCTTGTACTTTTCGGTAGTGATATAATCTTTTATGTGATTTTGTTATTTGTTTTCTGTCAACGCAGACAGATGATAAAAATAATATCAATTCATTAGATTGATTTTAAATATCAACTGAACACTCAAAAGGTTAAACAAAACAATTTGGCAGCTAACTTCTTATTAAACCCATCTTTAGAAAAAATATAGCTGATACAAATAGGAAATATCTATATATGTATTTTTTTATTAAA